GCCCTCATTGGTTGCTCTGGTTTATATGACAATATCATCTCTGTTTGGACTTTGTCCCTGCCAGATTTGTTCGTCTTGATTTTTATTAGTTGAATAATGCATCAGTACATTTGGTCATTGTCACTTCTACCTCCCTAGCATGGATATATATTTATACTCTAAGACCTTTTCTTTTAACAGCTCTGTAAAGTACCAGCTTTTGACACGGCCAGTTAATGGGTTTTTTGTTCATTTCCCAGGGTTCCCTTGGGCCTCCTGGCGTTCCAGGTCTTGATGGACTGAAGGTGAGTTCATACAAACAGAAGGTCTATGTATATATTGTTCAAGTCAGTGTTAGCTCTGTATTTTCCAACATTTTCAGTGGGACATTTGATGATTTTCCTTTCAGAGTTAGCACGGCTTTATCAAACAAACTTCTTTTTTAACACCTGAAACTGTTTTCTCTTCAAAAGCCGCCTTCAGACCACATTCAGACCCTGTCATTAGTATTCTTTTAGCCCATATGTTCCACTTTTCGAAGAGGAAAATGTCTGCTGATTTCAAACCGTTATGCCGTTTGAAAGATATCCCCTGGGCTGCATCTTCAAGTCTGAACCACAAAGTATCTTTTTGTGGATCTGCTTGCGCTCTCTGTGTCTCATTTTGAAGCTAGATGACGAAGACACAGTGCAGGTGTTGCACAGTGGGGGAATGGAAAGAAGTTTTTTCCCAGAATTAAAAAAAATGGCACAGACAAAGATAACAGACAAGGAGATGATTTGAGAGGCACCATCGTTCTAATCCCGAGCATGCGTTTATAAAGAGATGAGCAGAAAAGGCACGCATGGCTGTAATGGGAACCAGAGTGAAAGAGTCTCAATTGGATGTGAACTCTGCGGAGACAACAAAAGCTGAAGGCTTAATTCCATACTTGTGCAAGCGAGTGTGGCCTGCCAGCGCTTATGAAACACAAGCCCATGGGTTCTTATTAAACGGAGTATGTTATGCTATGTAAGTGTCACTCATGCAGAAAGTTGAACAGTGCGGCAGTCACAGCTGCCCTATCTGCCACGGCAGGTTGAACGGCAGACATCATATTGATCTGACATGGATATCCACCGAGAGGGAGCGGCCGCTAATGCAACCCTTATCAGCACCAGTTTGGGAGTTTTTTTAATCAGACTCCATCATCATTATGGCAATGATTCCCATATGTGCGATGATACATGATTCCAGCACTTATGACGGCTTTTCGCTGCAAGTGTGGTGTATGTGGTGGTGAGGGCAGGTGGGAGGGGTCTCCTCTACACTGATTACTCCAATGATATTCTCGTATGGGTAAGAAAAACATGAAAACATGTAGTAACTCCTATAGTCAGCATAAGGCAGCATCAATTAAATTCAAGCCATGAATTAAATAAAAATGAAATAATGGATTCCTTTGTGTTCCATCCTGGGTGCATTAATCAGAATCATCAGGGTTAGGGAATGTGTCTGGAATAAAGAACAGCCACCCAACTCTTCCCAAAGGCTAATGATGTGGTGGGTTTGCACAGGTCACTAGGTTAATTGTTTTTGGCAACAGAGGAACTGAGGTTGGCTGCTGGAGGAAGAAAACATCTCTCAGACCCTGTAAAGGTGAACCAGCATCCATCAAATGGACTTCTTCATTTTTGCATATTTAAAATCAAAGCGGAGATAATTACGGCTTTTAATCAGCTTGTTTATCCGTGTCATGCGGCTTGTGGTTTTAGTACCTTTTGATTTTTTTTTGTGGCATTTATTAGCAAGTGTAACTTTGCTGCAAAAAAACCACTCTGTCCAAACAGTAATAAACCCACAGGCTCAGACTGAAGCCCTTGGTTTGTCTTCATTTATAAGGAAAACAACTCTTTCTTCTATCGTTTGATCTTAGATCTCTTAAGTCAGAGTTTGCATTACTGAAAAAGCACACTCAATAGAGCATCTGTGTGTATGTTATGTTATGCTGTCCATAGGGGGATATTGGCATCTCAGGATTGGACGGTTTCCCAGGAGCCAAGGTCTGGTGCACACCTTTTCAGTGTGCTCTTGATGTTGTAAATCCATGTCAATCATGCACAATTTTTCTATTTTGAAATAATTTATATGTTTCTTTATATTTTACCATCAGCCAAACCACGTTCTTTATTGGTTTCAGCAATATTTTTTTAAATTTGTTTTATGATGTGGTGTTTTTCTTTTTATTCACTTTTCTTTTCTTTGGTGAACTTTTAATGGCTATTGTGTGTGCATGATCTATTGTGGGTAACCGTGTGTGATTTGATACCTCAGAGTAATGTATGTCATAGTTATAATGGGATGAATTATATTTACAATTAGGTTTTTAGCTTTTTCACACAGACGTCCTGTTTTACTGACAGTGAAAAATGTTTGCCGATAGAGGACACTGTGTATGTTGTAAAAAAAAAAACAGGGGGGAAAAAAATCAATAGCAAGAGAGATTTTCCATAATCTAACACGAAGTTAACCCCAGATACGATCTGACCCTCAGGGGCTGCAGTAATTCCCCGGCTGAGTCCAAGTCCACCTGAGCTTTTCTGCATGTAACGCTCTGCTTTCTTTCCTAACAGGGTGAAATGGGAGAGCGAGGTGAAAAGGTAAAGCATTAATTCATGTTACTCAAAATTATTGTTAGCATCACTCTTGACGTAACGCCAGGTTTTAAAGCTGCCACTGTAGTAATATGATGGCGCCTCTGCCTCTACTTCTCACAACTCTACTTTTTTATTTCTTTAACTGAATCGAGTTCCCTTAGTTTTCAGCACACACACATAGGGAGGTTTGACTTAGGAATGGCAGCTTTCGTCCTGCATTCTTCTGATGTTTGGACATGAGCTGGTAGGAGGTGTGAACACCAGCAGAGTGGAGAGTGAGGCAGGCTGGGAAGAGGGGCAGTGACTCAGCGTGTTTCATGGACCATGAACTCTGCCTTCAGGCAGTTGATCCTGGTCTTACATCAAATCAGATTCTCACATCTTTTATATCTAATATTTCAGCAGGTTCGGTGTCATCATGTGAAATTTCCAAGCAGCGTGCATTGTTTTTGGTGTAGAAACAGTCCTGCAGAGAAAAAGGATAAAATGAAGGCTCCATGTGCTGCACAATACTGTTTAATACAGTGGTATGCCACAGTACGCTGTTGTTGAAGCCACCCCTTAACTTCTATGGCTCTATAGTCTCATATGGGGCAAGAAAGCAAATTGATTACTAAACTACAGAGTGAGATAAAAAATAGTAAGTTCATTCAAGTGTCCCTTAGTTCTTGGCTTTAATTCTAAATGATACCATTTCAGAATACCTTTGTGCTACTTGTGACCAAGTTTTCCATCAACACTGCTGAAAGTCTAC